AACTTTGGAAGACCTTCAGAAAGCCTAAAGACCACTTCAAAGGACTACAAAAAATGTGTTGCCTAAAAAGAAAAATACTAAAATTATTGGTGGTTTATAATTTTCCTTGAAGTCAAAACTACCCAATCATAACAGCAACATCTCTTCACTGCTCTGAAGCGTTCAAGCCGATTCATTTTTTCTAGATTTAGAGATTCAATATGAATCAGTGAATATAATGTTTCTAAAATGTCACTTTTAGAAGTTTTTCTTTTTGTAGCTTTAGCTTCCAAATAAGTTTAATGTTCTCTCATTTGATTCCCTATACTGATGAAGCATCCATCCATCCATCATCTTTAACCGCTTCTTCCTCTTTCGGCTGCGGGGATTACTGGTACCCATATCCAGCTATCACTGTGCGAGAGACGGGGGACACACACGACAAGTCTCCAGTCCATCACAGGGACACAGAGACAAACGAGAACCATTCACTCTGTCACACCTAGGGACAATTTAGAGTTACCGATCAGCCTAACATGCATGTTTTTGGTCTGTGAGAGGAAACCAGAGTACCCGGAGAAAACCCACGCATGTTAGGAGAGAACATGCTAACTCCACCCAGAAAGGCCCCCCAGTGACCTTCTCACTGAGAGGTGGCCACTATGAACTGAGCCACCATCCCGCCCACTAATTCCAGTTTTCGAATTGCATCATGAAGGACCCCACTCACCCAACACACACTTTTTGCCCCGTTCCCCTCAGGAAGGAGGTTAAGGAGCATTAAGTATAGAACCACTAGACTGAGGAACAGCTTCTACCCTGAGGCTGTTACGACTCATGAATCTCTAACCAGAATAATCAGTGTGAAAAAATTACATGATGCTGCTGATCTGTTTCATGTTGCTGCTGATCTGTTTCATGTTGCTGCTGATCTGTTTCATGTTGCTGCTGATCCGTTTCATGTTGCTGCTGATCCGTTTCATGTTGCTGCTGATCCGTTTCATGTTGCTGCTGATCTGTTTCATGCTGCTGCTGATGTGTTTCATGTTGATGTGTTCATTCGTGCTCATCTGCTCACTCAGACTCGTGTTCGTGCTGATGTTCGACGTAATGTTTTTATGCTATTAGTGCTTAGTGTATATTTAGTTGATGTTTTTCTTAGTTCATATCTTAGATGTTATTACTGGTTTTTTTTACATTTTATTGTTGGATGTAGCTGGGACCCTGTGTACATAATTTCGTTCCACCATATGTATCACATGGGGTGCGAATGACAAAGAACCTTGAATCCTTGAATTAATGAAGCATTGAAGTAAAAAAAAAAAAAAAAAAAAAAATCACCTAGGTCTAAGTAACCAGGTGTGTACAGGTGTACTTGAGTTCTTAGAGCCAACAATTCAAAACAAGCGTCTATAAAAAAAAGAAGCTAATTCAGTGTTTCCCCTAGTTTCCTTGCCTTGGCAGGGTGCTCATATCTTCTGTGATTTTTGTCGAGGGGGCGGGGGGGACACTTGTGTTGCTCGCTGTTTGTAATAACAGTTTTCGAGCGGTGGGGTAGACGGCTCAGCGTGACGAGACTGTAGCGCAATATGTAGCTTTTTAGCTAGTGTGTCTGTATTGTGCGTGGCTAGCTTAGTGCTACATCAGTGCTGGTAGTTGTCGGGGGCGGAATTGGCAGGCAAGGCGCTCTGTAGGCCTGTCACGATAACAAATTTTGCTGGGCGATTGTCTCAAAATTATTGCGATAAACGATAATGTTTGAAATGTGACAGTAATTGGTCATTATTGTCAAATTTAAAAAGAAATGTTTAGTTTGTTTTTCATGTAGTACCTTTTATCGACCACCAGATGGCAGTATAAGACTGAACCGAAAGATGAATACTGAGGGAGCGAGCAACGTATCTCTAAGAAAAACGGGGGGGAGGCACTTTAGAGCTTTGCCCAGACAAAGGTTTTTTTCCTTGAGGTCAGCCTGTTAGCTTAGCTCGTAACTTAGCTTCTCAGCTTATCTGCTTTTAACAATCCAAAAATGTGATTTTGGATGGTTAAAACAGATTTTAAAGAAAAAAAGAGAGAAGGAGGGGTCTGTGAAGAGCACCGGAGTTGAGCCTTTTGTCGTCCAGAGTCTTCAGTAGAAAGAGAGACACACGAAGAAATGATAAAGCCGATGAATGAAAATGAGGTCAATTTTCATTTATCATGCGATTAATTGATTTGTTGTTTATTGAGACAGGCCTGGCGCTCTGTTCTGCTGGGCGGGGCACCATGCTTATATATTGGTAGGGGAAAACACTGCAAAGTAAGACAACCAAGACAATTCTTTGAGCGAGATGCTTAGCAAAAGGGCTATCCATGGAGAAGTGCTTCGGTAAGCAAAGGGACCAAGGCCTCCAATAAAGCCCAGTTACCCGAGCTGGGCTCTATTGATCTGATGTGTAAGAAAAACGTCTTTAACAAGGACAACCACCAAAGCAGCACCCCACTGATTCAGAGAGCAGCCGAACAACAGGTTGTCATCGGTATAAGTGAAATCTCTGAGCTTGAGCAAACTTAATGAAGATGAAGCACTCGAAGGATTTATCGATTTTTGATCTTACAAAATCTAGATGAAAACTAACTCTACAGCTGTAGGAAAGAAGCTCTTTACCGCCTACTCAAAATGAAAGTGTGTCTTTACGGGAGGAAAAGTTCATCTTAAACATTAATCGGCATCATGCTGCGAGGGTTTTCCTCTTCCACTGGCAGGCTCAGACAAAAGGAAAGGAAAGCCTAAAGGAAAAAAGCACGGATTTATCCTTAATGAAAACCTGCCGCTGAATCATAAAAATAACTTGGTATTTCTCCAACAGTTCAGCTTCCAGAGGAGCAACAAGACAACACAGGAGTGGCTTAAGGGCAACTATGATTGGGCCTACAGTCAAAGACCTGACTTGAACTCAAACATCCGTCTGCTTTAGACTTAAAATAAAAATAGCCCTGCACCAAGACTCAATCCAGCCTGAAAGAGCTTGAGAGGATCTGAGAGAGAGAATGGCAGAAAATCCCCAAATCCAGGTATGTAAATCTCCTCACATCTGAAGACTCCGATAAAACTCTGCAGCGAAGATGCTTTAAGACGTCTCAATACTTCTTCCAAAGTACTGTTTGCCGTGTCATTATGCGTATCGAGTGCAGATAAATCAGAGGAAATTGAAATTTACAACATTTCCACATAAGGCTGCCATGTGGAAAAAGTGGAGGAGGATAAATGATTCATAAACGCACTTCGGCAGCGTGTACCCAAACAGAATATGTGGCTTTGGATGGATACACACTCATAATGACCTTTGTGTCATCTCATGTGTGAATGCTGACAAAGAAAGTCTCACGCTGAAGCAAAATGACACCAGGAGCAGAGCGTCAAAAGGAAAAAGACAAAAAAATAATCTGAAAATTTCACTGCACACAAACAAGCTTTTTACAAATAAAAGTGAATACAAACCTCTAGGAACAATCCAACGCTGAACTTTCACACAAAAACGGACATTTGCACCTGATCTGAAATCGACCTACGAGCTAACGGCAATTCTTTGTTGCACTTTTGCGATTTAAATCTAATAATAATCTTTATTGAATGACTAAAGCATGACATTCCTAAAACAATGCATGGATAAAGTGCTTTGGCCATTTCTTGTTTGACATGAAAAGAAAAATAAATAAAACATGACAGAGACTTGACTATAAACAAAAAAGCAGCTCTAATCCTAAATATATGTTTACCGTAATTTCCGGACTATTGAGTGCACCCGAATATAAGCCACACCCACTAAATTTAGAAAAATAATAATTTGTACACAGTCGTACACTATACATATACAGCTCGTCTTTATAGACATGGGTGTTCGTGTTTATATATTTTTTTACTTTTAATTAAACGCATACCAGTAACACACAAATAAATACAGTACTTTTTTGTTTGTTTGGTTGCAGCTGGAGTGGAGTTTTAGTGGCTTGAGTATTCTCTTATTAATCAAGTGGAATGGATTCGTTCATGAAGAAAGAGAAACTGCACCGCCTGAACTAATGTTTTATAGTAAAAGTGAGGGGGTCCAAATGAACGTTTTTTTTAATGTGGGGGGTACATGTCCACTTCACATATAATGGTTGCGAGGCCTATAGTCTCAATGTTTAAAATATATATATATATATATATATATATATATATTTTTTTTTTTTTTTTTTTTATTATTTATCTGCATGCTGTTGGATGAGTCATTAAAAAAAAAAAAATAGCTGTATAAGCCATTAAAATCGTGAGAAAAAAGTAGCGGCTGATAGTCCGGAAATTACGGTACATGTTTATACATATGAACATCTATTTAAATTTGTTTACACTTTGTTATTTTAATGACTGTTTATCTTTACTGAATTCAATAACTCCTCTCTAAATTTTTCATTTATGGATTAAAGTTTTTTGTTTTTTTAACGACATGATTTTTTTCAATTATTTAAAAAGGTGTCAAAAACAAAAATTGTGCCATAGTTGATGTTATATTTCTATATTATGCGAGTAAAATGTCTGAATGTTTAAAAAAAACAACTCGTATGTCATTTATTTTTAATTTATCTGCATGATGTTTGATGAGTCATAAAATAAAAAATAAAAAACAAATTAGCTGTATATTTGTATAAGCCATTAAAAGCATGTAAATATATATATATACACATACATATATAAAAACATCTCTTTACATGTTTATATTTTTTGTTATTTTTATAATGGTTTATCTTTACTGAATTCAATAACTGCTCTCTAAATTGTTCATTTATGGCTTAAAGTTGTTTTTTTGGTTTAATGACACGATTATTTTTCAATTATTTAAAAAGGTGTCATAAAAATTATGCCATAGTTGTTTCTTTCCTATACTACGTGATTAAAGTGTCTGAATGTTTAAAAAAAACAACCTCATGTGTCATATTTTCCTAATTTAGCTGCATGCTCTTTGATGAGCCATATGTAGCCATTTTAACAAGAAGCCTACCTCAATCCTTCCAGTGTCTGGCTGGAAGCCTCGGGCTGGGTCTTCGGTCGTCACTCTGCACTGGATGGCGCAGCCGTTCACCCTGATCTTGTCTTGTTTGAGGCCGAGTTCTGTCAGGCTGCGGCCCTCGCACACGTGCAGCTGGGCATGCACCAGGTCCACACTGTTGGAGACAACGCAGATAATGAGGTGAATACACTGACCGACAGCCAGAACATGGTGTGAACAGCTTTTCAACGTATATCATGTTTGAAAACTGCTGCTTCGCCTCAGTTACCCCCCAACACCCCACTGAAAAGTGCCAGCTCGCCCACAGCTTAAATTAAATAAAAACTCTGCTCCAAAAATATATTAAAATAAACACAGACTTTACCAAAACAAAAGAATAAAATCATTAAATGTGGATTATTGAACATCAGACCTTTTTCCTCCAAGTCTGTTAGTTTGACATGACTGTCGACGAGGGAGAGGGCCAGCACCGGAGGAGGGGGCGTGCCAAAGAAACCATCTTAGCACCAACGTAACTGGTTTGTTCCACTTTGGAGTAAGCTGCTGGGGGGAGAATCAGTTTTGTGTTGCGTGTTTCCTTGACTGATGAAGACTTCTGGATGGAAGGTGAAACGTTTCAGCACAAAAAAAAAAAACTGTCCAGATGACCTGACTGAAAATTGTTGGTCTGTTAGTTATTGATTGATAACTGATCATATTGATTATTCTGTCTGACAGAAACCTAGATAAAACAAAGGTTTTGTTGGTTTAAATGAATCCACTCAAATTGACCACATGTCCTCTCTCTGCTGCCATCTTTACTTGCTCTTCTCTACCCGTTTGTAATTGCAGTTATTTCTATCCTTGACATGTTTTTGTCTCTCTTCCAATAGAAAGTACATCTGGACCTGACATTCTGGCTCTGTTTCTACTTCCTGTATGGGTCTGTTTCTACTTCCTGTTTTCTCAAACTCAGCCGGTCGAAGCAGATGGTCACTCGTCCTGCACCTGGTTCTGCTGGAGGTTTCTTCCTGTTTAAAGGGAGTTTTTCCTCCCCACTGTTACCATTGTGCTTGCTCAGAATGGGAGACTGCAACAAAGTGAGGATTCAACACAATCTGCCGTCTTCCTTAGATAAATCACTTTTACCAATTGGCTTTTATATTGTACGTGAATGTTTCGTGTTGAGTGCCCCGAGACCACTTCTGTTGTGACTTGGAGCTATATAGATAAACTGAAGTGAATTTTTAAGAACTTTTATTATTTTTATTTTTTTTATGTCTGTATGAAAATCAGGAAAGACATGCATGGAGCTGAGAAAGATGGGCTTTATGCAGAACAGGAAATATGTGCCTGAGCAATGCCTCAGTACTGATTTGTTGAAAAACTAATTAAAGCAATAAAGTTCAGTTCTTTTTAAAGGGGGAATTCTGAGAATGGTTAGTTTTTATTGTAGGGGAATGAAAGAATTCACAACAACAACAACAACAAAAAAGTCTACCAAGTGGTTAAAACGTGCTAATATGAAGAATACAACCCTCACAACCTTATATTAAAACACAAACACCTGGTAGTGAAACCTAAAGTTATTTCTTAATGGTGCTTTCTCTACACCCACCCCTTGTCTCAATAAAAAGTCAGCTTTCTGTCACAGTACTTTGCTTTGAAACTAGTACAAAGTGAAATCTATGACAATGGGTGCGTTTAATTTATTGGATAACGAAGATAAAAAAATAGCAAAATGGCAGAACATTAAGATCTATAAAGATCCCAGGGTAGCAAAATTAGCAGCGCATGTCTCTGTACCTGAAGCCTCTGTACAAAATGGTTTGTCAGCATTTTTTGTTCAAGATGAACACGGCCGTGGATATTTGGTTAGCATACCCATAACCAGATGACAGCTCTTAAAACAAGCCTTGCTGGTCTGAATGGGACAAGTTTAAACAATTATTAAACGACTCCAATCTGAAAGTATCAGCTGTTCTTATAAACATTTCAAAACTTGCGCCAAACCATTTCTTTGTGTCTTTTTTGTTTTTTAACGGTGGTTATTTTTCCAACTAATAGCAGCTACCTGCACTTGTGGCGCAGCCAGGTGAAGCTTTTGGCAGGAAAACCATATTTCTGCTGGAACAACCATGAGAGCAGTGAAGATTTATAAAAGAGTATCCACATGATTGGAGTTAAACTCCACTTCCTCAGACCAATAACACCGATAACGGATACGTAGAGCCAAAGGTAGATCAGTAACTAAAACTTTATTTTTCATTTAAACCTGGATCCTCCATTAGCACAGAATAAAGGCCGGAGCTGCAGAAAAGCCCAGAGTGAAGTTGAAACATTTCTGCGACTAATGACGAAACCACTTCAGTCAATAAACCGAGACTGTTGTCCTTTAGCTTTGAATAATTCTCATGTAATAATGCCCGTGTGACATTCTGGTGTACTGAGAACCATCTGTGTGTGTGTTGAGACAGGCATGTGACAATAATTATATTACAGACATTGTTAACGATACCTTTTCAACAATTTAACTCGCTCCGACTTAAATTATATACTTACACACGCATGCATATATATATATATATATATATATATATATATATATATTAAAAAAAAGGAAAATTAAGTATGATGCAAGAGTTAATTTAAGACGGAATCTAAATGTTAGTCTGGCAAAAAGTGCTTCCATTTCCTTCTGATTCCCTGAGCTCTAACCCTCAGTGCTGCCTTATCTGCATGCATTTATTTAAATTTAAAGCTCAAAAGAGACCTACGGGGTTAATATTTATGACCTTACTCAGTTTAATCCATATTTTATTTTCTATGAACTTCCCGTTTTGGTTTTCTGGAAACATTTCAAGCAGAATTAACAGACAGTGGGTGGGAAAACAATTCTTACATGGCAACATGAAAGCTTCCCACCAACTGCCAAACAAACATACGACTGGGAAAACTTGGTGCCCTCATGGGTTCATTTAAGAAATAAAAACTCACAAATAAGAAAAATATAGCTTTTTGCCCTCTTAATTTATTATCTACAGAATGGCTAAACAGAAGAAAATCTATGAATTTTTATAAATCTATCAATTATTATCAATTTAACAATTTAATATAGATTATTCGATAATTGAAAATAATATTTTCAATAATCAACAATCTATTGTGTGATAATTTGATATAATATATTATTCTCTAATCGATAATGTCAATTAGTATCAATTACCAATTTATCAATTTTCTACCTTTTTTTGGTTTTAAAGCTTCATTTCTTGAAGCAGAAGCTACATAATGAACTGAAACAGCCCGAGACATCTCCAACAATGCTAAACGAACGTCTTATTTCACCATATGTTACCCATTAGGACACAAACATTTCACCAAACTCAAAAATACTCCGCAGAGTACTGATCTCACAGATGTACACAATCAAAGAGGAGCTGTTTTCAGAGCTCAGCAGAAAAACTATCCCCAGAAGACCTTAGATCTGCAATAACTTGCTCAGATTTCAGGGTGTAACAAGACTGTTAGTGCTTCAGCTTGTAAGAAAAAGCTACTCAATAAATAAAATATACATTTTAATATCTATAAACACTGTTTATTAAGCAAGCAGACATGAGCAATAATCATTTAAGCATCTGATTTAAACAAATTATATAAAAACAAGGAAATAGTCTGGAAAGTGTTGCAGAATAGACTGAAGTCTGGAGACCAAACAAACGTCCACAAACTGCTAAGAGGATTGCTACAAAGACGAATCAACACTGAGCTCAGAAGAAAATGTTGATTTCAGAGCTTTACAACGCATTGCTCCGTTTCTTTTGTAGACAGTGGTTGCACCTCATCATGTCGTTTGGCTAATTGAGATTGGAGAGAGTAGCCGAGTACCGTTTCCTGGGAGTCCATGTTGAGGAGAATCCGACCTGGAGCTCGGCAGAGGCTGCACTTCCAGAGTGCACTCAGGAGTATTCCTTCAGTATTCTGTTTTTAAGATTCTACATCACTTTACAACCAAGCTGTTTTTGTTTCGGGTTTTTTAATACCATTTTTTTTTCATTTGTTTTTCTCAGATTGTATGCTTTATTTTAGGATTGTCCATTGTTGTCATCACTCTGTTAAAATCAGGTCTCTCTTCTTCTGGGACTCTGTTTTATCAGCTTTTGAAGAAGACAGGCAGCAGTTTCGGCCATGGCAAAGCTTCCGAGTCAGTGTGAAGGTTTGGTTTGTGCTACGAGTACTCAAAATCTGCGGACTTACGAGCTAAACCGTAAGATGGAGGCGATTTATGAGAATCGCAGGCCACCTGCGGCTCCAAGGACTCGTCAGCATGTTGGGATCGACCTTGAGGACGACTCATAACACGGATCAGGTGAGTGAAATACCCATAAATTTGGCCATTTTGGACCGGAAAGTTACAGCAGGACTCAAGGCTGACAAGAAAAAAGCAGTCTGCCTGAAGAAAAATCAACAATTGTGGCTTATCAGAATCCGACTCCCCCGTTTGGCCTCGGATACGAGAAGACTATCAAATTTCTCCTGAGACATGGGTAGCTAGGGACAAAGCTTCATCCATCGACACCCCCCACCCCACTTCTATGCAGGTTTATCAGAACTGCCGGCTGAAATATCATCAGAACTGTGGCCTACCTGAAAGTGCTCATGGACGAACCTCAATGCCTTGGCGTCAAATACATACGTAATCATGTTTATAAGTGTGCTTGCTGGTCAGATGATTGTTGATAAAAACATGTTATTAACACATAATTGTCTGGGCTACATATGTTGTGTGTCTTGTGAGTCACTCCTGGACATACGGACCATAAATTCAATAAACTTTCATCGTTGCCAATTTAAACAAATTATGCAGATCATGAGTTATTTTAACAACTAATAAAGAGGTTACTGAAATGTTGCAGCTTTATGTACAAAACTAAGTAGAAGTTTATGGTTTTCAAAGTCATAAAAACAAAAAAGGCGCCGCCGGGTGCTGCTAATCAACTGTGTTCAATGAGCTGATCAATTCAGCCGCGTTTTAAAACAACGCTGTAGCAGAAAGTTACCAGCAGTGATGCGGTTTCATTGGGGGGGTGGGGGGTAGTTTAGATTCATGCGATTATCAGCTGTGCTAAAAATGGATACTTCAAGTTCACACAGATGTTAGATCAAGCAAGTCTC